AATTTCCTGATCTTCTAATTAATTTAGCAGTGCCACTGTCTCTGAGCTACAGCTTGGAGAGCAGTCACCACCACCTCCACTTCAACCACCGCCTCCTCTGCCAGCAGCAGCTGTACCTTCTCTAACCGGTGACAGCAACAGCCCTTGGATCTGCTCCACCTGTGGTAAGAAGATGAAGAACGAGCGAACGCTGTACATGCACCAGTGGCGCTATCACAAGGTAAGGCTGCTGTTGGGCTTACCCCCGTTGGCTTCGAAATCATCATCCTTATATTCTCTCAATCCGCACAAACCAACACAGGGAGGCGAATTTCGCTGCCAGAACTGCTCCTTCATCGCCTCGTACCGTATCCAGCTGCGCACCCACCAGATTCGCTTTCACGACCTGGGCAAGTTTAGCTGTCCTTTTCCCGGCTGTGGGCGTTCTTTTAATCGCCGGAATAGCCTGAAGCGCCACGAGCGCATTCACCTCCGCCTGAAGGTAGACAGAGACTGAAATTGTGATCGAAATGAAAGCTCTGCTCGAAACTAATTTAGGCACTGCTTACAAGCTCGAGCAGATGTCCCGGACAGGGCCTAGATTAATTTCGAGCAATGATGTCACTTTGACAACACTTTTCTAACACAATCCCCCGCCTCTATAGCCTTACCGGTGCAAGATGTGCGACTATGCAAGTGAGCTGCGCTCCTCGATGATAGATCATGTTCGCGTACTACACTGGCGTTTACCGCGTTCGCGAAAGGAGCAGCTGGAGATGAGCATCGGCGACGACCGCGACCCGGCGGACTACTTTGAGGTGATCCAGGAGGGCCTCGACATGTTGGAGCCGGTCCTCGAGCACGTCCACACGGTGCTCGCAGCGACGGCGATGGCCCGCGATGATGGAGGTGGTGGAGGTGATGGAGGTGGTGATGGTGATGATGGTCAGACGAAAAAGACGAAGACCGAGGATGATGATCTGAAGCGNGAGCACGTCCACACGGTGCTCGCAGCGACGGCGATGGCCCGCGATGATGGTGGTGGTGGAGGTGATAGAGGTGGTGATGGTGATGATGGTCAGACGAAAAAGACGAAGACCGAGGAGGATGATCTGAAGCAACTGACCAATTCTACTTCTGTTCGACGAGACCGTCCAACTCTTCCAACAGCTCAGTGACTTCCAACCAGAGCAAATCTAGCTCCCCAACCAATTCTGGTCAAGTGTGATGTTTTGTGTGACCCATGTGAGAAGGTGATTGTCAATGTGATTATCTTTTCCGGGTTGTGCCCTTTCAACAACAGTGATACCCCAACTTCCTTTCAAATCAAAGTCTATATGTGAATGTTCTTGCAGATTTTTAAATTGTCTGTTTGGGCGCGAACCCACCGGTGGTCATGTCCCTTAAAGAGTTCCCAATTGCTGCGACACTGTACGAGCAGCTTTCACTGGCCAGAGGGGCTCTGCTGACCGCCGACGTAACAGTGGACTGCTCTGGGAGAGGAGAACCGTTGGCGGTGAGCTGTGCCTTGGGGGGCAGAGGCACCCTCAGGTGGACTGTGGTTTTGTTTTGGTGCGCTCGCTTAGTGAGCCTCTTCACGGGGTGACTCTCTCAGTGGCCACCTTCCCACAGAAGTCAAAGCTGAGGCCAACTGCAATTTCGGAATTCAGAATAATACTTTTGGTATTATTTGGATTTTTCTCACCGCACACCCACCCACTGATAGTCCATCATGGACCCTACAGCGTACGCCTACTTCACCGACCGCCTTGAGGTGAAGAAGCAGGTGGTGAAGGAGAAGATTGACGAGCTGATAACGGAGATGTTCTGCAACATGGTCAACGACTTTTCGCGCCTCGCCGAGGTGAACAAGAAGGAGAAGGAGGCAAACGGCGACGGTGGTGTCAGCTCGGCGGGAGTGGCACTTCAGGGGCCGGGGGAGATGGGCAGCTGCGTGGAGACGATCAACTCGAAGATCCACTACATGCTGATAAAGACGTACGAAGAGGCGTTCACCGACTACGAGCAGGGCATGGAGTACGCCAAGGAGGCCAGTAATCAGCAGCAGCAGCAACAGCAACTGCAACAACAACAGCATCAGCATCAGCAGCTGACTGAGGATGGCGGGGAGTTGATTCTCTTTGAGACGACGCAAGTCAAGAAGCGAAAGCGAAACAAGGGCGTCGAGACGGATGATCGAGCGTAAGTGTGCAAGTTTATGGTGGTGATCAAGGGACACTAATGCAATAAAACTCACATTTCAGACTGGTGCTGATGAACAAGATGCCAAAGGCGGTGCAAAAGTCCTTCTACTGCAAGTGGCCCGACTGTGGTCATAGCTCAAAGAACTTTTACAACCTCGCGAAGCACGTTCGCCACAACCACTTTTCACTTCCGGTCACTAAACAGGAGCAGGGTAAGCGTTAGGATGAACTTTAGTTTAGAAAATGTGCTAATTCATTTACCTTTTTCAGATGAACTAAAGATCGTCGACAAGCGAGACCCGCTGAAGTTTGTGGGCGAGCTGACCGAACAGAATCCCCACCGAGAGGTGGTGCAGCCGACGGAGGAGGACCTCTATCAGCCCAAGTACGAGCGCCGGAAGAAGTACATTTGCAAATACATCAACTGCGGACGCGCCTTCAGCGAAAAGCAGGTCCTGGTGGGCCACGAGAAGCTGCACCTCGGCCTGAAGCCCTTCCGGTGCGGCTTCGACAAGAGCTGCCCATTCTCCTCGCTGAAGCGGACCGCCGTCCGGCGCCACATCAGACAAAAGCACTTTAAACTGCCAAAGACGCTGAAGAAGCAGATGGCCATGTCACTGATTGACGACCGTGACCCGGACATGTACATCGTGGAGGATCCTAATCAAAATCAGATCCCGCTGCTGTTTGAGGTTCAGCAAAACTGATCATCTATATAGTATTTTATCTCTTTTTCAAATGTTTTTTATATCATCTTCATACTGTTTTACTACTTTACTGCTTTCACATGATTCTCTATTTACGCGTTCGGACAACAATTCTAGGATTCTTTTTCTCTGCTATCAATTCTTTAAAATCTTTAAAATAAAAATTTACTTGAACGTCATCACGTCATCTGAGTAAGGCCCTGCTGAGTGGTCGGCAACAAAAATATTCTCTCTGGTTGTCTCTCGTGGTTTTCTTTGTTGACTTCTTTCCGCTTAACACCTTTTCGAAATGTCGCTCTTTGCCAAGTTCCGCACCGGCATCATCTCCATCGGCGCCTTCGCCCTGGGAGTGGCATTCCAGCGGAAGCTTCACCTCCAGGCTGATGTGGCCACCACCACCGATGTGGTTGATTCGCCTGGTGGTGGGCAACAGCGTCCGTTGATGCAGCAGGACAGTCCGGAGAGCATCATCGCCATGATCAAAGAGGGCGGCGGCCTGCTCGGCGAACTCGACTCGCCGCTCATCACCAAACACGGCATTCCCTCGATCAGCTCACTGCGGGCGTATCCCAACTTTCTAGTCTCTTACGATCAACGGTTGCGCATTCCCACCTGGGTGCTCGAACGACTCACCGCCCACTCGCTGTCGGAGAGGGAAGAGCGGAGCAGCCGAAAGGGCATCGACTTCTTCGAGGACAAGTCCTTCCACCGGTACTTCCGCGCGTCAAATGACGACTACAAGGGCAGCGGCTACGACCGCGGGCACCTGGCCGCAGCGGGGAACTACCGAAGCTCACAAGAGCACACTAAGGCGACTTTCGTACTGTCGAACATTGCGCCGCAGGTGGGCCGCGGTTTCAATCGCGACAAGTGGAACGAGCTGGAGAAGTACGTCCGCGGACGGGTGCGCCAGTTCGGCGAGGCGTGGATCATCACCGGGCCGGTCTTTCTGCCGACGCGTGAGCCCGCCAACGGGAAGATGTACGTCAAACACGAGGTGATCGGCAAGAACAACGTCGCCGTGCCCACGCACTTCTTCAAAGTGATCCTCTACCAGAAGGAACCGAACAGCGGCCTCTTTCAAATGGAATGCTTTCTGATGCCCAACGCGGATATCAGCGCCAGCCAACCGCTGAAGGACTTTCGCATCGACCCGACGGTCGTCGAGCGGGCCGCCGGCATTCTCTTCTTCAACGCAATCCCGCGAAATCGCATCAAAGTGCATCATGAGTAAGAGTAACTAAACAATTTTTCTTTTTTTAAATTGTATAAAGTTGTACATAAATCGACGATGACGATCAGTTGACACTTGTTTGTTGTTGTGGTGGGCACCAAAAAGAGTTCCCGCGTTTTCGAGGGAAAGTGTTCAGAGAAGTGGCGCAGCGAGGCGGCCCGGGGCGGGGATGTCCATCGGTGGTGCCACTCACAGAGAGCGTCACTGTACTGCGCAGAGCGGGGAGCCAGTGGCCGGGGCAGTGACTTCCTAAAAAACTGGGTGGGCAACTGCTCACTGCTGTTTTGCTGTTTTGCGCCTTGCATCACCGTCGCCAGGGTTTGTTGTTCTATTTCATTTTTTCATCATCTGCCGACGCCGAAACATCGCCACTACGAGTTCTACAACTTTGAAGCACACAACAATGGAGGCCGAGGCCGAAGCCGAGGCCGTGGCCGTTGCCGTCAAGGAGGAGGAAGAAGACGTGGTGGAGGAGAGGGTGATTGAGATGCCCGCTGCGATGGCAGAAAGTGGTGGGCGAAACACCATAACGCGGTACATCGAGATGCCTGCGACCTTCAATGCACAGGGCGAAATGGAACTGGAAATGAAGTGTGAGCTGAGCTCTGGCGACGCTGTCACCGAAATTATCTTCATCAACGTCAACGAGCAGAACCTCGAGGACGACATGGTGCTGGTGGAGCAGCAGCAGCAGCAGCAGGAGCACCAGGAGCATTCGGGACCGGGAAATCGACGACGACGACGGGCGGCTCCCGGCGGGAAGAAAGCTCGAAGTAGAAAGACGGCCGCGGCAACGCAAAGCAGCGAGGACTACGAACTGTCAGACCGAAACGACGGCTGCTCCTACTCCGTGCAGACGATCTTCCTCAAGTGCTCCAAGGTGGGCTGTGACGCCCGATTCGGTGATAAGAAGACGCGAAACGCCCACCTCATGGCCGACCACGGTGTGACACCCTTTCAGTGTCCGCTAGTTTCCTGTCTGGAGCGCTTCTCAAACAGGTAAGTGTATTGGTGTTTTTGCAAGAACTTTACAGCTTATCTTGAATTGTCAACACAATTCAGCATCACCCTTGGCGAGCACATTCGCACCAGCCACGGAACTACCACCAAATGGTTTTGCAGCAAGTGCGAGAGTGTCTTCAAGAAGTACAAGCTGCTGTACATGCACCAGTGGATCATGCACGACGAGGGCGAGTACCAGTGCCCGCACGAGGGCTGCAAGTTCACCGCCACCTACCGCAAGCAGGTCTACAATCACATTGACCACCGCCACCAGGTGCCGAAGAACCGCTGTCCCTACGAGGACTGCACCAAGGCCTTCACCACGACGGCCGAGCTGACCGCCCACCAGCGTCGGGTGCATCTACTGCAGAAGCCCTTCAGGTACTGTGTCTGAGGTTGACTCGGTGGTTTAAAACAATGAGTTCTNCTACTGCAGAAGCCCTTCAGGTACTGTGTCTGAGGTTGACTCGGTGGTTTGAAACAATGAGTTTCTAATGACTTGTTTCCCTTAGGTGCAAGTGGCCCAACTGTAAGTACTCCAGCGAAGTTTGTCCCGCAGTGGTCCGCCATATACGCACCCAGGTATTTTTACAGTTAGTCACAACCATTTCATCGAGAGCCATTTCATCACAATGTTACTTTAGTCGGGATAGTTAAGCGGGAGGACCGCTAGGATGCCCACTTTTTGGTATGCAATGAAATGGTTCGCGATAAAATGGTTTGTGATAAAAACAGTTGCAATGGAATAACCTAGATATCTCCCTGCAGCACTTCCACTTGCCGGAAACGGTGCGCAAGCAGCGCGAGCAGAACATCACCGACACGCGCGACCCGCGCGAGTTCCTCGAGATTCTCGAGGAGGCGCACGACCCGGTCCTGGCCATTGAGATGGCCCCCGATGAGAATGGCCGATGCGGGCGAAAGTTCTACTGCGAGTACGAGCACTGCAACAAGTTCTTTCTGCGCGCCTCCAACCTGAAGGTCCACGAGAGAATGCACCTCGGCCTGCGCCCCTTCATGTGCAAGTTTGACCCGGAGAAGTGCGACTTCAGCTCCGAGCGGCGCGAGGTGGTCCTCCAGCACATTCGCATCGACCACATGGATATGCCGCGGTCGCAGCGGGAGCAGGCAAAGTGGCGCAAGAGTCGCAAGGGCATCGACATCCCCGACGCCAGCGACTTCCTCGAGGTGCTCCACGAGGAGTTCGACGACCCGGAGACGAAGGAGAAGCTGGCGGAGATGCAGGCGGGCGCCGCCTTTGCCAACCAGACCGAGGCGGAGATGAGGGCTGGGCACGTCAGGGAGGAGATTGAGGTGGTGACCGAACAGGGCGGCCAGGAGGTGCTGCACGTCGTCGAGGCGCAGATGGTGACGCTGCCCGTTGACGAGGATCCGGGCGGCAAGCGAAAGCGCAAGAGCGACAAGCCCCGACCGGAGCACATCTGCTACTTTGAGGGCTGCGGCAAGCGCTTCCGCCGCCCCTCCAACCTGAAGGACCACCTGCGCGTGCACACCGGCGCGAAGCCCTTCAAGTGTTCCTGGGAGGAGGGCGCCTGCACCTTCACCAGCAGTCGCAAGGAGAACGTCGTCCAGCACGTGCGCACGAACCACCTGGGACTGCCTCGGTCGCGCCGTGAGCAGCTGCAGATGCGCATTCCCGACAGCCACGATCCGCAGCTCTTTGTGGAGGTCTCCCAGGAGCTCCTGGAGATGACCTTGATGTAAGATGTTGGGAAGGGATTTTCTGACCCTCAGAGAAGGTCACATGTGTTTGGTAGTCAACAACCACCAGTGCCGTTGTACATAACTTCTAGCATTTCTAGCACTTCTACCTTTTTGTACAAATAGTTGCTATATTCTATATAATGTAATTAATGTAATGTATTGTGTATTCTGGTAAAAAAATTGGGATGGGACATTAAATATGGAATATTCTGTTATATCGAATCCCAGTCTTGCCTGTGTTTGCTTCTCTCCTCTTCCCCCTCATCGGCTCTGTGCACCTTGGTGGCTCCTCGCTTGTTTATATCAGGTGGCATCAGCCGGCGACGATTAATGTTTTTTTGTGACTGTGTGTGCCACTGTGCCCACTATCGTCAATCCACTGTAATCATCACTTCCCCGTGGATCATCACACCTCAGCACTCCGGCAGTGTTCATGGAACAGCTTCCAGGTAAGACGAGGGTTGTAAATTTTTGTAGCCTCGGTGGCACTCTTGGAGAGGTAGCACGTTTGATGACGGCTGTAGCTGAAGGCGGCCTCACAGTTGCCTTTGACATTGACATTCATCAACAGCCGGGGGCAAGACTGGCCTCATTTAGCACAGCTGCCGGCACCATCAATTATCCACACCATTACCATCACCATCAACACCATCATCAACGCCAGCGGATGTTGCGAAAGCAGCTACACTGTTAGGAAGTGTGCTGATGCCCTTCTTGCTGGTGGTAAGTTCTGACTATTCAGTTTTCAAAAATAACTTTTTAATCAATTTCACTTTTAGATTTCCACCACCTTCCTATCTGTTCCAGTTTGATTCCCTAAACAGAAGTCATCCGGGTAGCTTTTGGGGNTCAACACCATCATCAACGCCAGCGGATGTTGCGAAAGCAGCTACACTGTTAGGAAGTGTGCTGATGCCCTTCTTGCTGGTGGTAAGTTCTGACTATTCAGTTTTCAAAAATAACTTTTTAATCAATTTCACTTTTAGATTTCCACCACCTTCCTATCTGTTCCACTTTGATTCCCTAAACAGAAGTCATCCGGGTAGCTTTTGGGAAAGTTCAGTTCCTGCTTTCTTGTCTGCCTGCCTTCCTTCACTGGTGCTCGTCACTGCTTCTGGTGCTGTCAACATTGAACGCTTCTGCACTTCTCACTGCACTCATTAGCCCGCTACCCGATATTGAACAGAGAGAAAGAGAAGAGACACAGGACACGACGCTTCGCTATATTTATCGTTTCGGTTGCCCCACTGCCGTCACCACCACCGTTACTAGCACAACTACCAGCACTTCTATCGACTTGTCGTGGGTGCACTGCCAGAGTTCTTCCCTTCGCTAGTTTTCAGCATATCACCACCACCACCACCACCACCAATACTACTGTTGCATCACACCGCTTGTCAGTGGCCTCCCACTGTTGATTTATCAGTTTTCTAAGATATCTTCAGTGCTTCTTTGCTCAATACACCAATGTGCCTCCAACAATCGGCGACACTGTTTCTCTTCCAGTCTGTGCGATCAGTGCCGGCGATCACATCGACAAGTGCTTCGACCACTTCTTCTTTCCCTCAGTGCCACCGATTACGTGTTTAAATTCTGTTCACCTGCTAATTGCCTCGTATAAAACAAATCCTGCCATGCTTTCTCTCACCCTCTCAGAGACGTCCATGAAGCTCTAGTCCAGCAACTTCCACAACTGCCATCTTCTCTCTAGATGACCGTTCCTCATCGGCCGGCACCACCACCGACGGTCGCCCGGAAGATGGTCGACGTCAGCCAGTACTTACTCGTCTGCTTCCTCTGCACGGCTTTCGGTCCCGGCGGGGGCCGAGCCGCCTCGCACTGGGTAGTGACGGAGGATGGGAAGCGGATTCAGGCGCAGGATGACAGTGCCTTTCAGATGCGACGCCCCTACGACCTGATGGCCTTCCTCGAGCAGGAGAAGCGCGCCGAGACCTTCAAGACGATCAAGAACCAGCTCATTGCCCTCAAGAGGGAAATTGAAACGGACAGCAGTGAGTTCGATGCGAGTCGAAGTTTTTATCCTTTCTATTTTTAACCTTTTTTTCTCTAGTGAACGACAAGGACGACGACGTGGAGCAGTTGGTCTACGAGACCGATCCTGACTGCGTCTTTGCGGGCAAGCCGCTGGTCGAGTACGACCTGCACGTCGGCACGCTGGTCTTCGCCTACCCGAAGCCCATGTCCTCCGAGTCGGCCAAGTGGAAGGTCTTTCCGGACGGCTTTCCCGTGGAACTGCTTCACAAGAGCCGCTCCGACGAGCTGAAGTACGAGGCGCCGCGTCGCTTCACCATTGCCTGCTCCAACACCAGTCAACCGAGACCCAATGCTAATAGTGGTGCTAATGGCTCGGCAACGGAAAACGACGGCGATGAGGACGAGGAGGACACTGTGGAGCACGTCGATGAGAGGGCACAATTCGGCCCGGACTGTGCCGCCCACCTGACGCTCGACTTTAGCATGACCTCCTTTGAGCACTTGCCGGTGAGTGAGGGAAGAAAGAAGTTTTTGATGATGTTGTGTTCCATTGCCTTGTTTTCCTTTTCACCCCACAGTCAATTCGCGATCGCAAGCTGCTGAACATTGACGCCGAACGGGAGATTCTCCGTTTTCTGGGAAAGTGGAAGACCTACGAGGACTTTGGCCGAGACCTGAGCTTTGGCTTGAAGCAGGTAAGGGAGGATTACTCATTTGTACAAATGTTATCTTCTATCTTTGACTATTTTTTCAGAATTCCACCTCCTGGCTGTTGTATACACTGGCCTCGTACTACTGGCGCGGCGCGGGCAACGCTGAGCAGGCAATTGAATGTGCCCGCCGGGCCCTCCACATGGCGCCCTTTGAGCACCGCCCGGTGCCTCAGCTGTCGCTGGGCACCATCCTCCACAGGGCACGGGCCTTTGAGGAGGCGGCCATCGTCCTGCACGGCGCCATCGACATCACCCCGGACATACCGCACGCCCACTACACACTGGGCAACATCTACGCGACGCTGGCCGACTACAACAAGTCGGTCATCTGCTATGAGAATGTGCTGAAACTGGCGCCCACCTTCATCGACGTCCAGCGGCGCCGGGCGGCGGTGCTCTGTCACGCCAAGCTGGAAAGTGCCCTCAAGGCGCAGCATGAGTGAGTTGTGGAAAAGCATAGAATTTAAAACATTCACACCTTTAATTCCCTTCTTTTTTATTTCAGCACGCTGCAGAAGACGCTGGACGAGCTGAAGGACTACCAGAAGCAGCAGGAAAACTGGATCAACTTTCACAAGCGGATGCGCGCCGAGCAGGCGTCGCCCACGACACTGCTCGAGCAGCGGATGCACTACCGCGAGTTTAAAATGCGCCAGAAGATGGAGGCGGCCGCTCTAGAAGATCCGCCCAACAGCGACAATCTCAACAAAAGCCCGAAGAGTAGTGGCGGCGCAGGGGCGGGGACAGTTCGACATGCGATGACACTGGACGAGCTGGCCGACGAGATTCTCAGCCAGCCAGGGGCGAAGCTGCACCTGCAGCTCCACCCGGAGAGCAGCTTCGTCGACAAGATCGTCTTTGAGCTGGACCAGCTGGAGAAGAGTCACGAGGCGATGCTTTCCTGCGGTGGTGGTGGTGGTGGTAATGTCTTCCACAATGGTGAACACAGCAGCAATGGTGGGGGTGGTGGAGGCGGAGGTGGCTGTGAAGAAGGCGGCGATACCGACTCCTCCGAATCATGCTCTATTGCTGGTGGCTAATCCAGCGCGCTCTATTCTTTGTTGAAGGTCATTTACAACACCACACACACCACCTTCTTTCTTCCTCCCACCAACACACCTCCTCTCGTCACAACCCGGGGGCGCAACCGAACAAAAGACATCTTCTCGGAGACTGTTCTGTTTGGTAGCACTTTCCCGCACTCGATACTCGTATTTCTCTCTTTTACAAACAACTCTTCTTCTTCTTAACTGATTACTACTTCTTCTTTTACTTCTACTACTACTACTTCTTGTGTTTGCAGTGTGTGAACCTCCCCCATTGCTGTTGCCATGTTGAACTCCTTTTGTGTTTGTCATTACTACTACTACTACTACCGATTACCCTATCCCTTTCACTCTCACTCTCTTTCTCTGTGTGTAGTGCCTACCAGCCAACTAACTCGGACTCTGGTGTCAGTTGTTGAAGTGTGTTCTCAAGGAGCTCAATCATTTGGAGCAATAAGACCCGACTACAAAGACGAGATAACAATAATAAAGAATAACACATTTACAAACTTCAGGTTGTTGTTGTTTTGGTGTGCACCAGATATTACACTCTTTCTGAATGAAAGCAGGTGATTTGTTTTTCCTGTTCATTGTTTGACTGCTGACTAGGCATTTTGTGTGCACAGTCTGCTGATGATTATTATGCCATTATAAACGGCAGAAATGGAAGAACTTTTGCTCAACGGCTCAACACTGGAACAGACAGCCGTGCTCCAATTCAGTCCTCGATGGAGCAATCACTGCTCATCATTTGCATAGTGCATTGCACTTTCAGGCCCGACAAAGTGATTCGTTAACTGATTGCCATTGCAACGCACATTTGCATTTTCTAATACTGATGCCTTTTTTCTGTTTACCAGATTGGCCAAATTCCAGTTTCCTATCTGCTTAATGCACAGTCTGTCTCTTCCAGCTTCAAAATCAAATTTTGGCTTTTTATGATTAGCTAGTGCACCACGGCGGCATCAGTGTGCCCTATCAAATAACTGAACTTTGCCAACTTCGACTTGAACTGCCATGAAATGTGATCGGCCCTGTTTTTCTGTTTGTTTACAGCACTTTTTTCCGACTTGCAGCTTCAACAACTCGACAACAAATGCAACTATTGCTCAGCACTCACTAAAGTAAGTGTCATTTTAATTTGATTTCATAGGTTTTATGCAGATAAACCTTATTGGCCATTTTGCCGTGATTATTTTGATTATTTTATGATTATTTTACTAGGACAATTTTTTAGACCAAGTCCGCCATGTGCCATTGCAAATATCTCAGGTTTGCTTACTAAAAGTGCTAATTTGGTTACAGCTTAATGCAATCGTTGCTACTAATCAGTAATTTTATAAGCAAATGCTTTGCGTCTTGCTTTCCTCAATTCTCCAAAAAAAAAGATCTTATTCAAAAATTGGGCACTTCCGAAAAGCGCTCCCCTGCATTCGTAGCAGTTCTTTAAACTGCTTTTAGCTGTGTGCCACTTTAACTGCCGTAATTTACGATTGGCTATTTGCATAAATTCACAGTTTGCAATTGAAGCAAACGGGATTAATTATTAGAAGAAGTAGTATTGAAGTAGTAGAAGAGATAAAAAGTGGTGCCGTCATTTGAGCACACATTTTCACTTGATGCTGAAACGATCGCTGCGCTGAACATTTCAAAAATCACTTCAAAACAAGGACTGCTTACATAAAAAGAACACTTATTGTGCTAACGGCACAGTTTCAAATGAAACGGTTAGAAGCAGTTTGATAAAATTTCAAAAAGTGTGCCTAATGGTACTTAATCATATGCATAATCTGCTGAGTAAAAATTCCAATTAATTGCATTCAAAATGAGCCATATGTTCACGTTTGAGTTCGTTTCCATAAACGATTAGCCATTGCTAAAAAATTATTTTGAGCATAATCAATTACTCAAAATGAAACAGTGACTGAGGCTGTGGCTGTGTGCAGAATCTATTGATGCAGTTTACAGCACGCAAAGTGCTTTTCAATGTTATCCACTACTAATTAGCATCAGCTAATTGAGCACTTCACTATTCAGAAGAACAGTGAACAGGGGAACTAGCCTCCGTTTGAGTGAATGAATAGACGGCACTGACTGAATCCTCAATTCCACCTAATTGAATGTTTTCACGTGTGGTTGTGCATTCATCAAAGCAGCTGCAGTGAAATTTATAAAGCCACAGCCTGACACCTCATGGGACTGCACGCAATCCTGAGCTGCTATTGAGGATGTGCTCAGTGCTAACAAAAACATCTAAATAGTGTG